CGAGCAGCATGTACGTGGCGAACTGCCCATTGCGCCTGTGTACACCACAACGCTCGCGTGCACCACACTGCACGCGCGCACCACAGCGCCTGCGTACAACGCAACAGCCGTGTGCAGGGCACCGCCCGTGTATACCACAATACTTGAGGAGCACTACAGCGCCGGTGTACATACACCGCAGCAGCCATGTGCAACACAACGCGCGTGTACACCACGGTGCTGGCGTGCACCGCAGCGCCTGGGCACGCCACAGCGCCTGTCTACACCACAGCATCCGCGTGCAACGCAGCGCTTGTGTACACCACCATGCCTGTGTGCATAGGACAGGTAGAAGGAGCATGTACGTCAGGATCTGCTGCGGACAAGTAAACGCCACGCCAGTAAAGTTCTGATAATCGAATGCGACGCGTTTCCCTCGTCCCTCCTCCTCGACCTCCTCCTCCTCTTCCTCCTCCTCCTCCTTTTCCTCCTTTTCCTCCTTTTCCTCCTTTTTACCCCCTGTCGTGCGGCTTGGCGTTGCAACGCACGCGCGCAACTCAACGTGCACCGCAGAATGGTCGATTGAATCGGTTTCACTTAATTCTCGGACGGCCAGTTTAGCTGGAGCCTCCTGGACGCAAATGGGAGTCACGGTGATGCGGGCGGATTCGGGGGGACCGGTAGATTCCAGCGGTGCTCCTTTGTCCATGAGGATTTGGTTTCCATTGTTTTCTCTGGAATCCACACGCGCTCCATTTTGTCACAAGAATTTTTTCTGAAATTTTATACACAACAATGGTGCTGTGTTGCACGCGGCTGATGTGGTGCACACAGGCGCCGTGGCGTACATAGGCACTGCAATGCACGCAGGAATTGTGGTGTACACTGGTGCTGTGTTGCGCACGGCTGATGTGGTGTACGGAGGCGCTGCGGTGTACACAGGAGCTGCTGTGCCCGCAGGCACGGTGGCACAAACTGGCTCTGTGTTGCACGCGGCTGCTGTGGTGTACATCGGCGGTGTGGTGTACACAGGCGCTGTGGTGCACGCGGGCACTGTGATGTACACAGGCGTCGTGGTGCATATCGCCGCGTACACGTTCGTGCTACCCGTCCTCCGTCATTCCTAAGCATTCCCAGACGCCGCCGGCGCGAAACGTGACGTCATCGACCCCCTCCCCCCCAGATGATTGCCGCCATCGGCCCGGACTTAAACACAAGCCCCAGCCGCGTCCGCGCGCGCGACGACGATGAGCGACGAGCGACGAACCACGAGCGACGACGACGGACGACGGACGACGGACGACGGACGACGGACGACGGACGACGACGACACATGACTCGGCTTGGAAGAACGAGACGAGGGCAAGCGGGCAAGAGGGCGAGAAGAGGGCAAGAACGTCCGTCCGCTACCCGTCCAGCCCCGCGCCTCGAAGACCTCGCACTAGAGATCGTGCTACAGAGCATCGGATTGCTTGAGCCCGCAGTCGGGCAGACAGCGAAAGCCGGGCAGACCTGGGACCGACAGACCCAGAAGTCCTCTGGGCGTTGAAAGAGGCATGCAAGGCATCTATGGCTAGACCGACACTGAGCAGGCAATCAGAATCAATGAGAGGGACAAGCGCGAGGACAAAGGAGGAGATAGGATCCGTACCCCAGCACGGGGGAAAGCATGGAAGACACTCACGGACACGGGGGACCAGATTCGGGCACAAAATAATGGAGGATGTCGTCTCCTCCTACTGCATAGCAACCAAACCTGCATCCAGCACGGCCCGCACGGAACCGACGGGAAGTGGCCCAAGCATTGCACAGCGTCTTTAACACTGAGCTCGCTACACAGGAACCGAGATTCTGACCTATCCTACAAAGTCTTGTCATCGTTACATCGCATTGCTGAGGGGAGAGGGGGCGCCAGTAGTTCAGACGGGCACCAAAAGAGCGTGCAGAGGGGAGGGGGTAGAGGTGACGAGACAGGAATCTCACAATTTTACTCTGGAGGCCATCAATGAGCTCAGTGGGGATACAGGGCATGTCGATAAGGGACTTGAAGTTGGTACGCATTTGACTGAAGGACGAACTCCGAAACGTGGGATATCTCATATAAAACAATTCACAATCATCATGTCGAGTAAACTCTTCCAGATATTCTCGACCGCGAGCAAACTCATCAGAACGCAGAGCGGCACGGAACAGGGCGGCACGGGCGCTGAGCTCCACTGCTCGAGCTTCACACGTGATACCAAGACGCTTCAGGTCACATAGAATCGCACTGGACAGTGAGAACCGCGGAGCGACTGGAAGTTGCTGGAGAGCCTCACGCTCAGCAACTCGAACAGAATCAGTAATAGGATAAAACTTGGCAGCGTGTTGAAGGACGGGCTGACAGTAGACGTTATACATGTGAATATTTCCTGCAAGGCCTAAACAGAGGCTTTTAACATACCTGGCACGACGGAGGAGGGCCCGACACGGGCCTTGCCAACTCAACGAAGCACCCTCGAGACCCAGGAAGACCCCAAGGTAAAGCCCAGCACGACCGATTTTGGAGGATTTGAGGCGGATTCGTTTTTCCCTGCAGTCCTTGCGGAAGGCGCATTCCGCACGGTCGTGCGGCAACACAAACTGGCACTTCGCGGGGTGAAGGAACAGGCCCGTGCACTTGGCGAGCAGCACGAACTCGTGTACCATGACAGAGTGCGCAGCACCAAGATCAAAGGCATCAATGCCAAGATCATCAGCGTAGGCGCAAGGACGAGCGCGGACTACCTCAAGACTTTGCCGAATCTTCCTGAACCAAGGATCAAGACCGAGAGCAAACAGGAGACCAGAAAGAGGAAAAACCTTGTTTAATGCCACGCTCAACCTTGAACTTGCCAAAGATGCGCCCCTTAAAGCGCACGCGCATGTACATGTTATCGTATAGGTTTTTCACGATTCGGCAATGCCAATCAGGGATACCCATTTCATGCTATACATACATAATCCACTCATGTGAGATACTGGGGAAAGCTTGCTTGATATCATAAAAGGCCATACCAGGAGAGGGGGCATTTTCATAAGCAGCATATTGGGCGTATCTCCAATCCAGAGCTAAGACATTATCCACCAGGGAACGCCCCCCCCCCCACAAAACCACGTTGTTCGCTATCGACGGTGCGGCGTGCCACAATATGCAGCGGCTGTGCGAGAGCACTGCACATCAGCTTACAATCCGTGTTCCCTAAGGCCAGCGGACGAGTATGTTCAGGCGCGCGAGACGGCTCTGCCTCCAGCGCTCCCTTGGGAAGAAAGGCCAGGAAAGCAGCATTGAACTCATCAGGAATCTGCCCAGTGTCAATGATGCAACGATAATGTGCATATAAAATACCCCTAGCCCTCGGTCCACCAAACCTCCACCCAGAGTACGGAATACCATCCAATCCTGGGGCAGAATCCCGAGATTTATCTAGAAGCTGATCAAAAAGATCTTCATCGACTGTCCACAGAATGTCATGAGGAGCTGCTTGGATCCACGTACGCAAAGAACGCATACTGTCCTGGCAGGAACGATAAGGTTGGGCAACTTTCGCCCAGTGATCCTGCAGCAGGTTAGCACAAACTTGGGGGTCAGTGTGGGTGTTACCATTTGGGTACACAATTCCCTGCAACAGTACTTGCTTGTGACGGGGGGCCCAAGCACGAGCCAGACGTTCGATTTTTGCAAGTCCCGAGGTCCTTGCCTGATGGGGAAGGTCCTTATCATTTAAAAGCTCCTGACGATCGCCATCAAGTTCCAGACGGCTGATCTCGGCCAGGTATGCGTAAAAAGCGTCAGGGTCCACTAGATTCGCATCATCGTCTACAAAATCTTCTAGCTTCGGAAAGCGGCGAACAGCTTGGCGGTGTTTTACCAAATCATTTCGACGACGAGCACGATCATACATCATACACCACGATATTTTGTGACCGATAGTTTTCGAACTAGCCGAGCACGATTCATTCTTAATGTCCAACGCCGCTAAATGCATTATCGGCTTGACCTCGGAAACTGCTGTCGCTGGATCCTCGGAGACTCCCATCTCTTCAATCAGCTTCTCTACCTTCCCCGCGAACGCCGGCTGACGGCGCACCCACCTGGGAATGACAGCGCACGAGTTGGGGGACTGCACAGCTAGGATAGCATAGACAGGTCCATGACCACTAACATCGCGAAGCTCTGCGGGCTGCCATTCAACGCCAGCAGCCGGAGAGAGGTCCAAGATAACGGAGGATGGGAGAGATGTGTAAATTCTGTCAATACGAGCAGTGCTGACAAGTTTACCATCACGTTGTATGCAATGTGTATGATTCTCCTGTCCAAACTCAGTGAAGCGAGCGAACAAATTTCCAGACTCCGTGGCAAGCGAGCAGCGCGGCGTGCGATCCAGAGCTGGATCGACATGTTGACGGGCCTCGCCCATCGCGCAGAAGTTCCAGTCACCGCCTATAAACACGGTCATATGCCGTGGGTCAAGAGCACGCGATACACACGATAGGGATTCTTTCTTACCAGTCATCGAGTCATTAGGGGGAAGGTGAAGAGAACAGAGTTGAAGAGCACCTCGGGGCCCATGGAGATCAACTGTTAGACATCTGCCACTAACAACATTCATCGGTGTAATCTGGTCGAACTGCATATGAAGACGCTCGTGGACGCATATAAGGACGCCCCCAGAGATCACATCATCGCAGAAGGAGCCAAAGCATTTGTGGTGAGGGAGGAGGCGAGAGAGAGTATCTAAGTCCCCTAAGTGTCCGTGAGATTCTTGAATTAGCAAAACATCGATTTTTTCCGCTAGCCTCAAAAACGTGTTAAAGGTCTGGCTTTGATGCCTGTGGTCCCCACTCTCGGCACCAAAAAGAGTTGCTGAATTCCACGGCCCAATGCTGAAACGACTGCTAGGCACCCAAGAGACAGGAGGAGGCAGAGTAGGCACACTCGGCAGCGAGTGCGAGGGGGGAACAGAAAATAAGCGGCAGTCCTCATTCATTACTGGAGCCTGTCAGAGGAGGTTGAGCGTGTCGATGATTGGCTTCACCAAGTCCGCCGTGATGCCCCAGTCCTCACAGTCGTCCTGAACCCACTCCGCGTGGCCGTCAGCGTCCACACGTATGAGGTCCCACACGTCTTTGTCCGTTGTCGCTGTGATCGCATTCGAGAAGCCTGAGCATCCAAGCTTGCACTGAGGGGACCAGTCACGATGTGCACGAAGTAGCTTCATCAACGGCATCCACGCCTGTCCAAGGTGACGCTGTCGCATCCGAACTTCATGAGGGAGATCGCCACGGCAACGGAGCTGCGTCACAGTTCCACAACGTGGGTCCTTCCAGGTCACACAGTTCATGCCGAACCATGTGGAGAAATCACGAGCTTGTTCTTCGGTAGACCATATCACACTGAAACTCTGCGAAGAGCGTTGAAAGTGTGGCGATGCATCAGCAGCTGGAAGAGACGGAGGTAGTTTCACCAAAATATCGTTCCAAACTTGTTTGCGCCTCACGTCGAGCACCTTCCTCGGGAAAGTTCCAACCCACCTGCGACACGCATTCTGCGTGTCCGTCGGTCCACCACTCATTTCAAGGGCGATAGTAGAAGCCTCTGAGCCATCACCACGACGACGTTTTGCACCTGTCGACCAGCTTCGGGCGGAGCTAGCAGATGACGCGGGCCGAGAAGAATACTGAGCCTGCAGCGCTTTCACCGCCTCCATGCACTCGGCGCACTTCGCGTCCACCTTCTGGTCGAGCACCGTGACAGTGTTCTCAAGAGCAGCAACCTGCGGTTGCAGGCCTTGCAGCGCCTGCACCGAAGCCTCCGTGGCAGTCACCTTCGCGAGCAACTCGCGATGTTGAGCCGTCTGGCTCTCGTTCATCTTGCGGAGGAGCTCCGTGACCCCCGCCATGTCCGCCATGGCTGCGCGAGAACGGAACTTCAGGGATGGTGTTTACGTTACTCAGCAAAATGCGTGAGTGAGAATGAAATGCACAATGCCGCAGCCCCTGTCCAGGGGCGCTCTCCAGGACTGCAATCGCGCGTGGCCGCCTCAGCCCTCGAGGCGGGGGTTGCCCGATATTGCCACTTGAGCCAAAATGGCTACGGACGACGGACGACGACGACGACGACGACGACGACGCCTGCGGACCAGACATCTGTGCGGATTCCTTCGCGGACACCTACGCGGATTCCACCGCGCACGGCGGCAGTGCCCGGAGCGCACTGGGGGGGGGGGCGTTACGTCATAGGGGGGGGGGGGCGGGGGCCATGACGCCCGTCATGCCCCAAGCAATAAAGGAACGGGCTCTTGCGGGGTACTAATGTCGAAGTTATGGTGCTTCTTCTCCTTGGTGTTGCCGGACGCGAGATCCTTGCCCCTGGGCACTGCTCCTGGTACCTTTGGTGTAGTAGCAAGGAAATTCTCAGCATGCCTCGTGGACGACGCATCCCTTGTTCTTGCCTCGAAAGTAAGCGCCCAACCTGACCTGTGCGCCCGACCAGGTGTAGGGCCGCGACGTGGAACAGGATCCTTTGGAGTAGGCTTACTAGTGCCCTGGAACCTGGCCGAGGCAGCGGCCGCTGCTGGCCCTCTAGATCATTGTCGAGCAGCGCGTTGCTCAGCAGGTTGCCCCACATATCTCTTGATGTCCTCAGGATTAGGATCATCGCCTGGGCCCTTACGCTTTCTCCTCTTGGACCCAGGATGATCAGGGCCAAGAGATGGGCTTATTGAGCCAGAATCAGAATCAGAAGACAAGGGAAGTTCGATCGTTTCTGGCTTCGGTTTGGGCGCTGCCTTTGCCGTAGCTCCTGCCAGCGCCCCAGCAGAAAGCCGACGATAACGTTTTATGGGACCCCGGTCAGGATTCTGATGTTCACCACCTGGCCTCCTGAGGGCCATGTTCTTAATAGGAACTGTGCGTTGATCTCTTTTGTGTTGTCCACCAAGTAAGTACTTATCTGCACTACGTCGTTCGGCTATGAAAGTAGCGACCCAGCCCGCACTTTCGGCGCGGTAAGCGATCCGCCTGCCAGGAGAGAGCTACATGTCTCTAGTGACAACGTCATTGGGGTCGATCGGACTATCAGCATCACACGTAGCGTCCGCGATACCCGAATCACTTGCTTCACCGCCGTCAAGGGGGGGCTTCCGCAGGATCAACTTCTTCAGCCGTTGCAGCATCTTCATCTTCAACTTCACAGACGTCTGGTTGGCTAGCTTCTTCAGAATTGTACTCGGCAGGTTTCCCTGCATGCCAATCACGATTGAACTGCACCAGATAGTGAGAAGGTGTCAGGCTCTTCAAAACAGCCTTTGTGTATTCCAGTTCTGTAACTGTAGCAGGGAGGTAATTCGTCTCCGTCAACCGCTTGTCGCATGGCGTTCTGATAAGGTCAGCACCGTGGCCCCCGACCATCTCCATGTGACCAAACCCGCGGCGTTCGTGTGAAATTCGGACTTCTTGATGGGCGTCTCATGGGACAGCCAAGCCTGCGATCGGAATAGCTGGGGCGTTTGCAGCAAACGCCTCGGCACTGCTTTCGACCCTCGATGATGGCCCTTTTGTGATCACGCACGATCAGCTTGTCCTGCGATTCGGTCTGTCCCTTCGTCGAGCGAATGATTTCTCCAGCAACATTTCGTTTGGCTTGCCGAAGAGAATGCCAGTGTCGGATTTGATTCGCGGTCCAACCTCTATCCAACCAGTATTCCGCCCGATCTGCAGGCACGTACTGACGAGACAATCCATGCGTATTCCAGCCATGTCAACGCTGTAATTCACCTTCTGAATCTCCGTCTCTTCGACGCTGAGCATCTTGAGGCGGGTTTCCCCGCAGACGTTCCCTCCTTGGGGGCATGCGCTCTTGGCGCCTTCCCTTGCGGGCCGCTTGAAGTTACCGCCCCAGGGGGATGAGGGCGCTGAACACCGCTCGAACGAGCGCCACTGGAGCGGGCTCGCGCCCGATCCGGTGAGAAACTAGGAGCTCGACCGCGACGTACCACGCGGTCATCATCTTCCTGTTCCTCCTCGTCGCCCATCGGCGGCAGACTTGGATCGTCGCGATATTTCCTTTTTCCCCATGAAGGGCACGCGGCTCGGCGATTGCCTCGGACTGCTAGCGGGCCGCCCTGACGCAACAAGAGTACACTGACATTCTCCATTATGTCCTAGCTCATATTGGATGCGTTCAGATAGGTCACCAGCGCCACGCGGGCCCCACCGCAACGGGTCATCATCGATCGATTCCGCGCGTCGGATTTCCGATCACCCGAGGATGAAGTACGGCATGTACTTCTTCACCCGTTGCAGGAATGGTAGAATCAGAGTCCGCGGGCGCCCCCGCCCCACCAAAGTCACCTTCGACGGGCGCGTGGAAGTTCTCGACAATATCTGAACGTTGCCCCGCGATGGGCGCGCCCAGCCACTCTGCCAAGTCGACATCGCCGTGGCCTGTGAACACCTCTTCGAACAGCTCGTCGGCGTAATTCTCGAGGTTCATGCTGGCACACAAATACCTGGCAGCCACAAAATGAATGACTGTGGCTGAGCCGTCAGCAGGGTCGGCCAAAAACGACCCCCCGTCGACGCACTGCATGTCGGGGTCCGTTTGAGCCAAATCTATTGACGGACCCCTGCCTCTGACATCGCCTTGGGGGCATTCGCGTCGGAAATGTTCCGCACTGTGGCATATGTCGCACTCAATAGTTTTACCGTTGGCACCCTTTGGATTCCCTCGTCGTCCTTTACCTTTGCCTGACGTATGCCTACGGTTCCTGCCAGCAGCTAAAAACATGTCTTCATACAGGGGCCCAGTGAGAGATGCTAGGAAGGTAGCATGCCTCTACCGCGCAGACGCCGACGCTTACCTTTTCCTTTACGTCGACCCTTGCCTTTTCCGTTGAGCGTCCGCCGCGCCATGCGTCTTGCCCTTCTGACTGGTTTGTTCGCGAATCTCCGCCAACGACGCTTGTGTTTTTGATAGCCCAGAAATAACCACTGAGCTTGCTGCTCTTCAATACGGCATGTAGGCATATCAGAGTAGTCCAGCGCGGTAGTTTCATCACCAGAAGACGCATCGGCATCGGCACCGGTGTCGAGGTCGGACTCGGCGGGTAGCCCCCCAGAGCCCATCAGGGCCATAGCTTGCACAGGGGAGACCGCGTCGGGTGGCCCCCTAGATCTGGGCCAGGGGTCCTGAGACCCCGAGACCGTACCGCCATTCTGGGCCAACAATGTAGTGGTCTCAGACGGCGGCATAGCATCGTCCCAAACGTCGTTAGAAGGTTGCCCTGCGTTGGCCTCTGCATGGAAGGTCTCGGTTCGGTGACCGTGACTGAAAGTACCACCGATATTGCCAGGGGTTCTCTCAGCTATGTGAGCATATGACCTCATACGTTCGAGGAGAGCATCAATTTGTGCTTGGCCCCTCGGCAAATGTTGGTTCCGAGGCAGCAGGGGCTGCTGTGCCCGCGACGCCCCCACCCCCAGAGCTCTGAATAACCTTACTGTGAAAATCTGGAAGTTGGGGATGTTGAAGCTGGCGGATTCTGCTTCGTAGCGGGCAATCTCAAACCGCGCTAACGACTGGTCGATTCTTTCTCCCGCATGGACACGAAAGTCAATGAGAGCCGTGCCAGAGTTGACTTGGCGTTCCTGCTATAGGTTCTCGAACTTCGTACTCCAGAGGAACATAATGTAGGTGACGCCGTCGGTGTGGCGACCACCTATATTGACACCAAAACTGATGACTGCTGGGGGTACTCTCATGGCTATGGTCCGTGCGAGCCCTCCAAGACCGCGCTGGAGTGCGGCGGGCTGTTGGGAGGGCGTCATGTTGCCTGTGGTCACGTTGATCCAGGCGTGTACCTCGCGGACAAACTCGCGAAATGGTACTGGACCGGCAGGGTCCCAATGGGGGCCAGTCGTCCTAGTGTCGTCTCCGCCCCGCATATGTCCCACCGCACATCCAAGAGCGACCCACATGAGCCCAAAAATAATAACCCCAATCCAGTGGCCTCGTAGGTCGTAGTCGGGTGTAGTCGGTGGAGACTCGTGTTTTGTCGTCGTAAGTCGGCGAGGGGCCGGAGGCGGCAATATATCGTATCGCATGTTTCCGTGCATTATATATTCGAAGAAACTTCCAGTTGGAGTAGGTGGGTAGACTTCAGGAGTGTAATAGCGCACGGATGTAGAAAATGAGTAAGAGACCTCCGCTGGGGCCGAGGTGTCGCTGCAAGTTTCCTTGCGGTACTGCGAATCTATGTACACTCCTCCGCGCAATGCCACTGCACCCTCATGTTCCACCGTAACTGTAGTCCACCAGATAGTGCCGTGGATGGTGAGGAGTCGAGCTAGAACTGACCACCATAGGCCAGCTCCGCTACCAAGTTTGAAGGGGGCTGGGAGGCCCCGCCAACAGCTTCGCCTCAGGCGGAACCAAGCTCCAGCTCGGCTGTATCGTAGTAGTGATAGCCCCAATGCAGGAGGGGATGCCGTATCAAGTAAAAGGGGATGCCTTTTAGTATCAATAGCGATAGTGTGCCTCGCGGTGGGGCACAGTCAAATCTAGGCGGCCGGCCGCTTGAGCCAAGACGGCCGCGGGCGCACGCTCGTTTCCGCTCCTTACGTCCCCCAGCTCGATTTAGAGTGCGCCCAGGAGGCCCAAAGAAGCGCTCAAGACACACCCGAGAGGCTCCTAAGAGACCCCAAAGGGGGCCGAAGAGGCTCCTCGAGGCACCAAAGACGCTCAAAGACGCACCCAGGGCCGCCAAGAGGCCCCAAAGACGCCCCAAGAGGCCACCACAAGGCTTCCAAGAGACATCCGAGGAGACTCCAAGAGGCATTCAAGAGGCATTTGGCCCGTCTGATCGCTCTCCTCCTCCTCCTCCGCCTCTTGTTCTTCCTCCTCCTCCTC